CTGGAATTAAAGGCCACCACCACCCAGTGAGTATGTCCTACTTTTATGAGGTTTATTTTAAAGATTTATTTATTTATTAAGTATATAGTGTTCTGCCTGCATGCCAGAAGAAGGCATCAGATCTCATTATAGATAGTTGTGAGCCACCATGTGGTTGCTGAGAACTGAACTCAGAACCTCTGGAAGAGCAGCCAGTGAGCTCTCTCTCCAGCCCCTGGGAGCCAGGCAGTGATGGTGGACATCTTTAATCTTAGTCTCTAGAGGCAGAGGCAGGCAGATCTCTGAGTTTATGACCAGCCTGGTCTACAGAGTGACTTCTAGGACAGCCAGGGCTAGACAGAGAAATTCTGTCTCAGAAAAAAAACATTAGGGGCTGGAAGCATTTGGACCTGAATCCAAATCTTCAGAAGCCACTTAAAAAGCTGGGTATGGCTGGGATAGCAATGGGACTGCAGAGACAGGGATGTCACAGGGTCTTACTGGCTGCCAACTGAGCTGCACTGCAGATTCAGTGAGTATCCCTATCTCAATAGAATGAGGCAGACAGTGGTAGAATGGGACTCCCTACTTCCTCCTCTGGTCTCCACACAATGTACATCTGCACACTTGAATGTATGTACACATAGAAACAGGCACACAAAATAAATATCTATAGTATGTATACAATTATATGAATTTCCTGGTGAAATTACAGACTCTATCTACTTTGTTAAAAATGAGAGAGAGAGAAAGAAAGAAAGAAAGAAAGAAAGAAAGAAAGAAAGAAAGAAAGAAATCAGGTGGCATAGACCAAAGCAGGTCTCCAGCAATTAAGGACTGAGGAGATGGTTGCATGGGTCAAATGCTTACTGCACAAGAATGAAAGCCTGAGTTTGGATTCCTGCCTCCCATGTAAAACCTGGTGCAGTGATATCTGTCTATAACCCTGGTGTTGGGGAGTAGAGACTGATCTGGGAGGCTCAATGGCCAGCATAAGTGAAACAATGAGCCTCCAGGTTCAATAAGAAGAACTTGCCTCAAAAATACAAGGTAGAAGCCTGGAGAGATGGCTCCCGGGTTAAAAATACTGGCTGCACACACTTTTAATTCCAGCACTTGACCGGCAGAGGCAGGTGGATCTCTGTGAGTTTGAGGCCAGCCTGGTCTACAGAGTGAGTTCTAGGACAGCCAAGGCTACACAGAGAAACCCTGTCAAAAAAGAAAGAAAGAAAGAGAGAGAGAGAGAAGAGAGAGAATGAGAGAGAGCACTGGCTGCTCTTCTAGAGGTCCTGAGTTCAATTCCCAGCAACCACTTTGTGGCTCACAGCCATTAATAATGAGACCTGATGCCCTCTTCTGGCATGCAGCTATACATGCAGATAGAACATTCATATATATAAGATATGTAAATAAATAAATAAGTCTCAAAAAAAAGTACAAGGTAGAGAAGAAATGAAGGAAAACAGCTGACAGTTTTGGCCTCCCCACGTGCCTACACAAGTGAGCATGCTCACCCATCCACTCCTCACACACTCATATCCCTTCACACAGGAGTGTGAAAATCAGACTATAAAATAATAATGTTTCAAGCAAATAAAAGGCTATATATTGCATGACTTCTCCAGTGGAGATATTAAAAAAAATCTCCTCACCCCCACCCCTGAAAGGACATGAACAACAGACCAAAGAAATGATCCCATCCAAGTCTAGCTTCTAGCTTGGTGAGCCAATGAATTTATCAGAGCTATTTCGGGGACAATAGGAGGGGGGTTACTTACAGGAGCATGGGTCATGATGCATGAAAGCCCATCCCAAAGCTCCCTGCACCATTTGCAAACAACTGGGCTAGAGGGAGTCTCCTTGTCACAGCAAGAGTGACTGTGTCTACAACCTTAAGGGGAGGTTTTGAAAAACTTGTAAATTTTCGGAGCTTCCTACCTGCTATAAGCCTCCCTTCTGGAGGGAATACTTCCAGAACAATATAGAAACATGAAGAAAAATTATGGTAAAACTTAAAAAATAGCTAGGCAGTGGTGGTGCATGCCTTTAATCCTAGCACTCAGCAGGCAGAGGCAAGTAATCTCTGTGAGTTCAAGGCCAGCCTGGTCTACAGAAAGAGCTCAGGACAGGGGTCCAAAGCTATAGAGAAACCCTGTCTTGAAAAACAAAAACAAAAACTTGAAAAATGTCATGCTCTAGCAATTATGTAAATCATCACAAAAACCCTAGAAGAGGGATTACAGATGCAGCTCACTGATGCAGGGCTTGCCTCACATACTCAAGGCCCTGGGGTTGGCCTCCAACCCACACACACACAAAAGAAGGAGAAAACTTCACAATAAAACACAAAAGTAATACTAGTTGCATTAGTGCAGTGAGATAGCAGGAATATATTTTACTGTGTTTTTTAACCTTTCTGGGTCGAAGTGGATTAAAGTGGTCACACCTTTAATCACAGCATCCAGGAGGCAGAGGTAGGCACTTCTCTGTGAGTTACAAACCAGCCAGAGTTACATAGAGAAACCTCCATCTCAAAAGAATAAAAATAAGCAATTTTAAAAGACAGGAGAAGGAAGTGATGCACCTAAGGGGAAAATGTACATTATGTGTACCAAAGTTAGTAGAAATTGGGAAGATAAAGGGAGAAGACAATATTTATACTAGATCACCAAGGAATTAAGAACCAGTCATCCAAGATAAAGAAACTGACCTAAAATTAAGAGATTTGGGGCATAGGCAGTCAGACCCCATAGGATCCTTTAAATGATTATCTATGAATCAAGTGAGCTGTGGAAGGGGGCTCACTGGATAAAAACAAAGTAAAATGACATGCATGTCTGAAAAACTGAGAAGCTGAGGTGTGAACTCTGATCCCTCTGCCTGAGTGGAGGCATGTGTGGACAGGTTAGAGGCAGAAGGGATAACCCTGAGGCTCCCTGTGATCTGGCAAACACACACTCATCATCATCATCATCATACCATCACCATTGTCACCATCACCTCCACCGCTATCAAGTCCTACCTACAAGCTACTGTTTCCATTGATCAGAGACTCGGGAAAGTCAGAGCAGAGATGCGCCCAAGTCCTCACACTTCTCGGGTGCTTCCAGTCACAGCTGGGTTCCTCTTTCTAGGAGACCTGATAATAAATGGTTGCAAGCTTCCTACCCTGACCCTAGGTGGACTGTAATCCTGGCTCTTTCATACCATGTACTTTAGATACATAAAATATTGTTTGTCATTCTGATGCCTCATTCAATTGAGGGCATTAGGTGGTGTGTCAGAATCCATATCCTTTTGAGAGACCCTCACAGCTTAGTAATGCTGTCCTGTAAAGACAGTAAGAAGCCTTGAACAAAATACAAACCCCTATCAAATACAAACTGCCAGTCAAGATTTTCAACTCTTTGAGGTTTAGAATTGGCCAAGAGAAGCTAAAGTTTTTATTAATTGACACCCAAGTCCAGTTAAGTCTCAGAGATTTATAAGAGAGCTGTGTGGTAGTGTATGTATGTGATCCCAACCCTCAGGAGGCTAAGGCAGGATTGGGAGCTTAAAGGCCAGCCCAGGCTACACAATGAGCTCAAGGCCAGTTTGCACCATGTGGTAGAGCAAGACCTTATTTAAAAGAAGAGGGCCATGTGGTGGTGGCACACTCCTTTCATTCCAGCACTTGGGAGGCAGAGGTAAGCAGATCTCCAGGTTCCAAGATGGTCTGGTCTGCCTAGGGAGTTCCAGGGCAGCCAGGGCTGTGCAGAGAAACCCTGTCTTGAAAAACAAACTAAAAAGAAGAGAAGGAGGAAGAAAAGGGGAAGGAAAAGGAAGAAGAGGGGAAAAAGAAATCTGGGCATGGTGGTGTACACCTTTATACTCAGAACTCAGGAAGCAGAGTAAGGAGGAGCTCTGTGAGAGGCCAACCTGGTCTACAAAGGGAGAGTTCCAGCCCAGCTGGAGCTACATACTGAGACTTTGTCCAAAAAAAAAAAAAAAAAAAAAAAAAAGTTTAGGCCTTCTAAAAATTTGGCTCAAGAAAAGCAAATATTTGGCTTGCAATCGAATGAGGAACTCCCGAAATCCCGACTAATAAATAGTCTTTTGCTCTCAGTCCCTGAAACCACCAACTTCAGTGTGATAAGGTCGGGATAGAAACCAGTTGCCATTGGGAGCTTTGAGCCACCTGCTCAAAGCTCTGCCACTCACCCAGAGCACCCGATCCCTTGCCATCGACCATCACGCGTGTACAGGTGTCTAATGAGCCCTCACCCCTGTAGTAAGCACTATACAGGTATTAACCCAAAGGTGCTCTCCATACACCATTATCGGTCTAGGAAAGAGAAAGATGCTGATGGAGCCAGAATAATAAGAGCAATTCTAGAAATCTATTTACAGCAAAACAGCTCAATAACAGCTCTTGACACATTTTAGGAACTTTGGAGTTACAAAGGATCTTTCCTTGGTTCTGTGTACAATCATATACGAGGTGAGGTGACTCACCCAAGGTCACAAAACTAATGAGAGGTCTAGTACAGCTTTACTGACGCCTAAACCAGGAGCGGATTTCCAGACTTGCCCGCCAGCAGCTCATGGGCATCCCAACCCTTCCCTCGGAGGCTGCGAGGGATGCCTTTGCTAGAAGGGCGGAGCGGATCGCGGCCTGCGGGCCTGGGCGCTGTCCGTGGTGCTGATCGGTCGCCACTTCCCGGCTCGCCTATTCGCCTGCGGTGTCTGGGCTCCCTACTCAGGTCTCAGCCAGGGCCAGCTCCGAGGATTCGGTTGCCTTCAGGGTGCGGAGGCCCGGGTCCCGGGGCTCCCCCTCCCCCGCCCTAGCCACCAGCCTCCCCTCCCCCTGCCCCGCCTACGGCCCCTCCCCGCGCGCCCCAGGTCCCTCCCTTCCCCCTTATCTCTCCCGCCCCCCGCCCCCTCCAGCTCGTTCGCCAGTTCCGGTCACGTTGCTGGGTGTTTACGCCCGGAGCCCGCCCCGGGCCCCCCGCCTCTGCGCCCCGGAGCCCCCCGGAGCCCCGGCCCCCGCGCCCCACAGCCTCGCAGCAGCTGATGGCGCCGCAGCCGAGCCGCGCGCTGCGGATCCCTGAGCGCAGCTAGCGCCGGGGAAGAGCTCTTCCCGAGACCCAGCGAGGCCCGGGCCCGGCCCGCCGGCTCCTTCGGGTCCGCAGGTGAGGAGGCCGGGCGGTGGTCGTCGAGGGTGGGCGCTGGCCGGATGGCTGGGGTGATGAAGAGATCGTCAGAGCTCAGGTTCCGCCCGGAGGACTGCGCGGAGCTGGGCACCGCAGCGCGCGGGTGGCGGGCAGGACGCGGGCTGCTGGCAGAAGTTGTCCTCCGCCACTAGACCCGGGCCCTTCCCGGCGCTGGCGGGGAGTCCAAAGCAGTCCGCACCACCGACTATCACCTCCTACCGTTCTGCCTGCATTTCGTGTCCTGGCTGGTCCTTCTCTTCCCTATGCCCTGTGGTATCCAAACCCCGCACCCCTACCCCCCACCCAGCGCCCCAGCCGGCTCTGGGAGTCAAATTCGAGGCACAAACTGCAGAGTATCAAGTGAAAGAGGGTCCAGTTTTTCCCGACACCCCACTCCCACGTACCTGAATTCTCAGTAATGCTGAGGTTGGGGTTGTAGGTTCTTAAGTGGAGCGGGGAGCCAGAGTTGAGGGATGTTTGGGAGGAGGGACTTTGGAGTGGGGAGATCACAAGTCCTTAGAGAATGTGGCTTCACCACCAGCCTTGCAGACAAAGTCCCAGACATTTGTCAAAGGCCAAATCTTGGTTCCAGACTCGTTCTCAGGAGAGCCAAGGACTTAGTGGGGGTGGCAGAGTAATTATTTTTTAATACATGTACTTACTTGCCCTGGTGATTCCCAGTAAGACTCAATTCATTCTCTCTGCTCCACTATTGGCCGTGTGGTTTGTTTCTTACAAGGGATTCCCAGAGTCCAAACAGCCGGGAAGAAGAAGACTACAGGACACAAGGAGAGATCAGATTTCGGGAGACAGAAACTGGGTGGAGTGTAGAAAGCCAGAGGATGGCATGGTTACAGGGAGAGTTTATCTTGAAGACAAGAGGTAGTATCCAAAAAACGAGGTTAGCTTGAAGATGTAAATTGTGGTTGCCTTATGAGATACTCTATGTTCCAGAGTGAGCAACTACACACTGCAGTTGTGTATATCAGGCAAAGGGCATTACCTCTCTGAAGTCCTATTTCTTCGTCTCTGGAGTGGATTACAAAAAGGACTGTGTAGGGTTAATGTAAGTTAATGTGTAAAATGCTGCTGGCAACTGTACTGAGACTTGGGTGAGCTAGTGTCCTTGCCTGTGCCTCAGGCCTGGATTTAGGAAGGCTTCTGGAATCTGCTTTCCTTTTTCCCTGGGCCTCTGAGTCAGAGGGTGAAGAGGACTAATGACTAAGAAAAATAAATAAATAACGCCTGGCACTGGTGACACGCGGCTTTAATCCCAGCACTCGGGAGACAGAGACAGGACGATCTCTGTGAGTTCCAGGCCCGCCTGGTCTACAGAGCTAGTTCCAGGACAGGGTCCAGAGCTACAGAGAAACTCTGTCTCAAAAACAAACAAACAAAAAAAAAAAATGAAAAAAGGACGTATGGATTCATTTATTTACTCGTTTGTTGTTACCCTGCCTCTCCCAGCTCATATATCTACTTTGGCTATAAGAAAGTTTAGCCTTCCCGTAGAAGCAAGGAGCCATGCATTCTTAAAGAACATATAGAGTGATACAGAAATTTTTGTTGACCCCACAAATGTCTTCAGCCCCAAAGAGAAAAGAAACGCTAAGAACGAAATTGAAACTGGGACAAGACAATCAGTCAAGGCGTGAGTAGGGCACAATGAAAACTCCCTGTGATCTGGAGCATGGGGTTCCAAGCTGCTATGCTGGCTTGAAGGAAGAGTAGGGCAGAAAAGAACCGGGGAGCATAGAGCAGGCTGAAAGGTGGGGCCCAGGAGGGATTTAAACATCTTAGGGAAACTTCAAACTCACCCAGGAATGGTGGCATATGCCTGCAATCCCAGCATTAAGGATTCTGAGGCAAGAAAATTGCCATCAGTTGGAGGTCAGCCTGGGTTACATAATGCATTCCAGTCCATCCTGGACTACAGAGTGAGACCATTTCAACAACAGCAATAATAGTAATAATAATAAAGTAGCTAATAAAAATAGTTTCCAACTTTATTATGTATACAATGTTCTGCCTGCATGTACACCTGCACTGCAGGCCAGAAGAGGGCACCAGATCTCATTATAGATGGTTGTGAGCCCCTGTGTGACTGCTGGGAATTGAACTCACGTCCTCTGAAAAAGCAGCCAGTACTTTTAACCTCCAAGCCATCTCTCCAGCCCCAGTTTCAAACTTTTCATTAGCAGATACCTTTTCTTATGCAAAAGTTTATCCTAGGAAAAGACCACTAAAGGACAGGGTGTTGGTTGCAGCACTCCGGAGGCAGAGGCAAAGGGATCTCTGTGAGTTCAAGGCCAGCCTGGTCTACAGAGCTAGTTCCAGGACAGGCTCCAAAACAATACAGAGAAACCCTGTCTCAAAAACAAAAAAGAAAGGAAGGAAGAAAGGAGAAACAAAGAAAAACGCTGTCTCAAGGGTGGTGGGGATACACACCTTTCATTGAAGCACTCAGGAGGCAGAGGCAGGAGAATCTCTGAGTTTGAGGCCAACCTGGTCTACAAAGCTGGTTCCAGCACAGCCAGGGCTATTACACAGCCTGGCGTGGGGGTGAGGGGATGCTGTCTCAAGGGGAAAAAAAGAGCAAAGCCACCAACCCTACTCTGGCATCTAACCCCTCCACCCAGATGCTGAAATCTAGAGCTCTATAGAGTGAAAAGTGAAAGCCGTTGGCTGATATGGCTCAAGTCCAGAGCACCACAATTATACACTTCCTAGGGTACGGTCAACCCAAATAACTACAAGAACTGAGAAAACTAAGTTCCCTATGCTTATGTCAGTTGTGGGCAGATGGGAAGGGAAGTGAGACAGCAGAGACTAACAGAGGCTAAGTTACCCACAGTGTCAGGAGGCCAGGGCTCGGAGAGACAGAATTGTTAGGACCAGTACAGTGGCTTAGCAGATAAGGGCACTTGCTGCCGAGCCTGATGACCTGAGTTCCATTCCTGGGACTCACATAGGAGACTGACTCCCTCAGGTTGTCCTCTGATCTCCACATGCATGCTCTGGAATGCATGAGCTCACCACATGCATGAGTTAATAAAAAATAAAGTAATTAATTATATTTTAAAAATTTAAACTCAGAATTGTGCCAGGACCAGACAGTTCATATGCCAGCTGCTTGTCTAATGGTTGCAGTCTTGAGAATCTGAGGTCTTTTCTACCAACCTTTCCAAAGGGAAGAGATACTTGAACCTTCCAGACCCATGAGATGTGTGTCAGCAGTGTTTGGAATTAACTATAAACTTTGCACCTTGTGCCACAGGCCCTTCTTAAATTCTGGATGATTTCTTTTTAACTACGTTTTTGTTGTATGTAATTTGTGTTCAGGGTATGTGTCTGTGCATACAATGACATGCATGTGGGAGTCAAGGGACAACTGTGAGAGTGGGCTCTCCCTCTTTTTGCCATGCTGATCCAGGTCTTGTGCTCATTTTATCAAACCTGGTCACAAGCTCCTATACCTACTGAACCTTCTTTCCAGCCCCTTGGTGATTTGTTGTCAATAGACTTTTTTTTTCCTATCGAGCTACAAAGTTAACATGAGAAAGAACTAGGAATACCAGGAGCAGAGAATCAAGGCAGACCCTGAGGTGGCAGGGACAGCTGACAGAGGCAGAGGATGTGAGACTCACTCAGCATCTGAAGGCAGGGAGTTGACAGAGCTGACAGTATCGACGCTCTGGCTGCCGCCGCCTGCATAAACCACATCTAGGACACAGCTTCTGACACCCAGTGGTCCTAGAACTGCATATATGCTGTGACAATCTGCCAGTTGCCTGCCTCAGCCCTTCTGATGTACTGATTCCTCAGCCATGCAGAGTTCCGTCTGCTCCTGGTTCCCCCTGCCCCACTTTCCTCCTCCCCTCCCCAAACCATCCTCACAGTAATGTCTAAGAATGAAAACTTGCCAAAATTGTTTGTGACCCAAATTTCTGCCCTAAGAAGAAAGAGCAGTCTGCCTAGTTGGAAGTGAATGGTCCAGCCCATCCGGGAAAGAACAGAAACAGCTGGTTGGCTCAGTTTCTCCTGTGGCCAGCGTCCAGGCTCCAGGGCTGTGTGGGAAGGACTTTTACCCTTCACAGTCATTTGTGTGGCAGTGAGTGGGAACAGACATTTCTCTCTTCCTCCTAGGATAGGCCCACATACCATCATCCTTCAGATATGCACACAGCACCTACACAGATATGAGAAGTTGAGAAACACACCTGGGGCTTGAGATATTTCCATGATAGAGTGTGTATGAGACCCTAGAATCACAGATACTTCCACATGTGTGCTTGTGCACTCCTTGATACACACATAAGCCCTTTCCTCCCAGTACAGACATACAGTTTTATAGGCCTCCAACTCATTAGGCCCCAGAGTATTAGGTAGTCTACCTGACATCTGTTTCTCTTCTATAAGAAAGAACTCTTGAGGATGTCAAACCCAATAGTGTCTATCTTGATCTAGTGAATCTGCCCTGCCATCAGTCTACAAACTCCCCCAGATCCACTCACTCATGCATTCTGCAGATATTTACCAAGTAACTCCTAGTTGCTACTGTGCTAGGCACTGGGGAACTGGAGAAAAACAAAACAAGTCCATCTTCTGTTGCTAACAGTCTGGCAAGGGAAACAGACAGTAAACAAACGTTCCATACACTCATGTGCCAGCAAGTTCATGAAAGAAAATGCAGAGGAAGGGCATGGAGAGTGACTGGTGGAAGAGTATTTATTTTTGGATGATCAGAGAAAGCAGCATTTGAATGGATGATTGAAGGGAGGGAATGGGCCTTGAGATGAGTCTAGTAAGTTACTCCTGGCAGAGAAGACAGTTCATAGAGAGAACCCTAGGCAAGTATGCGTAGAGTAACAGAGGCCAATAGTGGGAGAACAGGAGATGAGGGTAAAGAAAACCAGAGGCAGATTGTGCAGCATTTGATTAGGACTTGGGTTTTTCCCAGTGCAGTGGTGCACACCTAT